TTACAGAAGGCTCTCGTTTGCCCATTTGTGTTTTTCTGTATTTCTAAATTCTAATGAACCTAATGTGTTTCCTTAATTCTAATTTATACTCCCCCCACCCCCAATGCATTTTAATGTTGCTGAGAATGGAATGTAATTTACAACAGACTAGTGCTCTTGACCTCCCTCCCCACCCACCCCAGGTTCTAAAATCAGTGGTGGGTCTTACGGTCAGTAGGACCTTAGAATTGAGGAAACACAACATATTCATTTAGAAATGGGAAAACAGAGAAAATATATTAAATACTCTTTTTTAAGATCCTAAGACCTAGAGAACTGGATAAAATCAGACTGATAACCTCCCCTGTAACTCAGTCAGGGTCTTACTGGAAGTAGAAGCTAGTGTTTCTCAGAGGTTCCCGGATGAGGTGATTAACAAAATAAAATTTTCTCTAGGACTGGTGGGAGCAGGTGTAGGGCCTATGACCCTTGCTGGGACATGAGCTTTTATAAGGTGTTGAAATAACACTGATAATGATCATTGTTTTCATGAATGGCTAATTTCATTAGGCACTTATCATGTGCCAGGCATAGTCTTGTCAAATGATTACAACAACCTTGGGGGGTAAGTGCTATTACTCTCCCCATTCTACAGACAAGCAAACTGAGACCTGAGAGAGGCACCTGCCCCAGGCCATAGAGCTATATGTGCAGAGATGGGATTCATCTTCTCCATCTGGCTCCAGAATGTGGTTCTCAACCACAGGACACTGCTTCTTGCCTCTTTTACATTTTTCCTAAGCTGTGAAACTGTGCAGATGAATTCATCAGCGAAGCCTTACCTGTAAAGGTTTCTCCGAGGGCTCAGTGGTGTGGAGGTGAGGGGTGGGACTGGCACAAGAGGTTTCAACAAGCTTCCTGCAGCCAGGATTCTGATTCCTATGGCCTCAGTGATGAGGTACAAAAAGAACACCCACTACCCTATTAGTGCGCTGTTGTTGTGTTTCCCAAAAATGGCCATAGCACCATTTCCAGTCCCACTGGCTCTTCCAGAACCTTGCTATTCCCCATCAAGAGCAGAACCTATTTCCCCTCTCTGTGCACCTGCCAGCCTTGGTGGTCACCTAGAATGTGGTGAAAAAGACACTGCATGACTGCCCAGGCTGGGTCACAGGTCCGCACGACTTCCTTCTGGCCCACTGGCTCAGGACGCTCCCCCTCAGGACCCTGCCACCATGCTATGAGGAAGCTCAGACCACTTGGAGAGAACATGTGTGGGCATGCAGCCAGCTGCCTGGCGAAGGGCCCCGTTCAGTAGCCAGCATCAACCATGCCAGGTGAGGAATGCTCCTTCAGCTCATCCCAGCCCAGCTTTCAAGTCTTCCCAGCTGAGGCCCAGTCCTTACAGAGCAAAGACAAGCCCTCTTCCAAGCCCTGCCCAAATTCCTGACCCACAGAATTTGTGAGAATAGGTGTTGTTTTATACCACTCAATTTTGGGGTAACCGGATATGCAACCATAATAGCTGGGGCAGGCACTTGAATAAAAAAAGGCCCTACTCGATCTGTTTTGAAAGTAGCATATGAATTGTTCTGGGTTTCATGTTTTGATTCTTTGCATGGGGAAGCTGAGATCTGTCCAGAGGGAAGTGATGGGTCCAAGTGAGAGAGACATCTGTGACCCACACCTGGGACTTTGGCTTAAAAATGGCCCCTCAAAAGAGATGCTCTTGAGGCAGGCTCAGCTGAAAGGCAGCTGTTGCCTCCGAGAGTCTTGTCACCAAACATACAATGAAACCATCATGGTGGGGATGACGGGAGAATGGCTCCATAAATCCCCCTAACCCCCGGGCCCCACATCACTGAGTGGATACTCATTCTGAATTCATCCACAGACTCACATGGGCTAAAACTGCTGGGCCAGGAGGCTCCGAGCTCGCTTTAGGCAAGTGAGAAATGCCAGTGACAGAGGCAACTTCCCACAGTTCCTGGTTTTGGCTTCCCATCAGCCTTGCAATCCAAGAGGGAGAAGGAGGAGGACAAAGACCTGACGCCTATAAGAATCATTTTTATAGCTTGCAAGAATCATATATTTATGCTTCCTGGTAAGCTTTCATTTGCAAAGAGGATCCTACTACCAAATATATCTACATAATGATTTTCTGTAGATTAAATAGGGGCAACTCTCCAGGGCTGCAGCCCAGAAGGTTCTTTGTAGTTGGGTGAGCTCTGCCATGGCCTGATGTGTGCTTTGCGACAACACAATCCTCCTACCACTTTTCTCAAGCTACTAGCCTTCTGCTTCCAGAAGGATGAGACCTGTGGACAGTGCTGAGTCAGTCCAGTTACCCGAGCTGAGCCCAGCCCGGGGCAGATGGCAGAAGCCAACCCACAGACAGGGAGGTGAGCCTAGGTCATGATCAGCAGTGCCAATCCCAGCTGACCAGCCATATGAGCAACAAACACTTATTGTCATATGCCACCGTTTTATGACTACATCACACAGCAAAAGCTAACTGATACATCTGTTTTCAGAATGTCCTGGTTTCCCGGTCAGGCAGTCCTAGTTTTCAAAGCAGAAAGAACAAAGTTATTTATCCACTGATGACTGGCTGAGTACAAACCATGTTCCCAGCTCTGTGCTCAGCACTACGCATTGCTTTCCACTCTGCCAATTTAAGGAAACCTTGATGCAGGAGAAATAATTATGCTGCTCAGTACTTTGGGCACTCTCCTGGGGAAGTAAATATTTGGAGAAGCTGTGGGGCCAGTCCCAGCAGGAGGCCTGGCATCCTGCCCTGGGCATGTGCCATAAGTAAGTGGTTTTGAATTTGAGAATGTGGGTGTGGGATGCCTTGATTAAAAACCCAGGCAGCAGAATGACAGAAGAGTGCCAGCCCGGAGGAGAGAAATTAGTCTGGGGCAAAAAATAACAAAGCCAGTACATAAGAACCATTAAGGAACTGTAGGCATGAGTCACTGATGGAAAACCACAGTTACTAATGACATGAGCTCATCATATGGTACCCCGTGGAAGGAGAAGGGAGTCTGAGTGTTGGCCAAAGGCTGGCCTCCAATCAGAATAAGCAGGACTGATGGGAGCAACAGAGTCTGGCTAGCAACCCCCGACAGGTCAAATAGTCATTTAGCAAACACAATGTCAGTTAACCACCCTAGGCCTCAGCTTCCTCATCTTTAAAATGGGGATAATAAAACCTGCCAGAGTTGATATGAGCATTAAATGAGCTCCTTTGAGCAATTCATAACAGCCTGGTACTGCTTAGTAAACACTCAACAAAAGTTAGGCATTACACCCCACTCAGGTTTGCTGGGAGGACTACATGGGATGCCTGAGAAACTCTCAGGGCAGCGTAGCCCTTGCTGGTGAGTCTGTCGGTGCAGGAAGCTGTAGGCAGGAGATGAGCACAAGAGAGAGACAGCTTAGACAACAGGCCCTGTGCTGACGGGCAAGGGGGTTCAGACCCAGACCAAGTAACTCAAAAGAAAACGGGATAAATGCCGTCAGGGAGGTAAAGTTTGTGAGGAAGGATGCTTGGAGGAGGGAGAAGATCAGGCCTGTCCTGTGAGGAGTAGATGGGGCCTGTGTGTGGGGCCTATAGGAGGCGGGAGGTGACACTGGAACTTCCAGCAGAGGGAACACAGCAAGGGAAGGCATGGTGTGGAAGAGCAGTGGGAATATTTGGGAATAGGTGAGTTGGCCGTTGTAGGCAAACCCCACATGCGTGTGAAGGAGTGTGGTGAGAACAGAGCTGGCAGGGAGGTGCGGGCATGTGGTTCCGGGCTGAGGAAGCCAACATTATGGGTGGGCAGCGGGGAGCCCGAGAGTATTACTGAGGAGAGAAGAGCCCCAGGCAGAACCACACTCCAGAAGGAGATGGGCAGCAGAAGGGACGCAGAGACCACGCAGAAGGTGGCTGTGCTGGTCCTAGCAAGGCAATGGGGATGAAAATGAGAGCCCAGCCAGCAGAGATGGGGAGAAAAAGGGGGTGCAGAGGGCAGGGGTGTCCCAGGGAGCCTCCGAGGATCAAGGCTGCACGGTGATGGGGGAGCAGGCCACCTCTGGCCACAGGGCCTGTTCCTACAGGACTCTCCCCTTGCTGGCTCAGGAGGGAGGTGGCTGCCTTGGACTCCTCAGAGTGCTGACAACATGCTCAAAATGAGTGGGTAATTCCGTCTGTCCAAACACTTCCACACAGGAAACCACAGATCAGAGCAAAATGCACCAGGCCTCCTCCCAGCTTCAGGCCATCCGCTGTGCCCCCTCTCCTGCTCTCTGAGCCAGTTCTGGAGAACAGCCCCCAGAGCAGACCTCTCTCCCCTGCCCTCTGGCTGCCTGTGCTTCCAGGGAGCAGAAAGCCTGCCAAGCTGAACCACCCCCTTCAGACAGGCAACACTGTGGGGGCTGTGGTGTGACCACCTCCCCACTGTCCCCCTCTCCTCCAGCTACCCTGTCTTCAGGTCAAAGGCACAATCACTGTGACCTCTGTCCCCAGCGGTTCAGTGAGGTCCTTTCAGAAGGGAGGCGTGGGTAGGACCTTCTCTGAAGCCTGTATTCTCCTTTGCTCTCTCACTTTTGAGTTATCTGCATGCCAGGTAAAAATACAGACCTCCCTTCAGAAGGTTCTCTACCCCTGGGTAGAGAAATATAAAATAAAAATAACCCTGTAAAAATAACTTATTAAAAATAACCCTGTAAGGCTGGAACCCAGCCCCTCCCTGCATTCCCCTCACCTGGCCTGCAGTGTCACCCTGAAGCCTCCTGCTGGGGCAAAAGCTGCCTGGTGGTGAGACAAAGAGGGCCTTTCAATCCCCACTAAGCAGCTGGCTCCTGCCCTGGGTCTGGATGCCTTTGGAGGAAGCAAGGAGAATGTGAACATGAAACAGACACAAACAAAAGGTTTGTCCTAAACAAAGCCGCCTCTCATGCACCTGCAACAGGGACGGGCCTCTCAGATAAATCCAGCACAAGTACAGTCCTCCAGGGCAGTATGGGGCCAGGAATCAGGTGAGGCAGATCAATCAGAATCTAGCTTCTGATCTCAAATGCTTCCTCCTAAAACCTGTTTCTCAATTGAGTTTCATAAATTCATGCTTTTCTAACATGTGGGCAGAAGTGAGAAATAAGTAAAGCCAAAAAGAATGGCAACTAGAGGAAAAGGAAAGAGAGATATGGATTTGAATAACTCACACTAGACTTATGAATGTCTCAAAAGGCAAGCCTGAAAGTGGGCTGGGTCATTAGCAAGCTTACAGATAAACTTTTTCCAGGCTATCAAAACCCTCAACAAAATATTAGCATTTGGAGTCCAACAATATATAAAAAATACATAAATGCACAAGTAACTTTATTCCAGGAATGTGTGGCTGGCTCAACATTTGAAAATCAATGAATACACCATATTAACAGACCAAAGAAGACAAACCAGATATTCTTATGGACTGATGCAAGAAAAGCATTTGACAAAATTCATTAACAATGAAAACTTTAAGTGAACTAGAATAGCAGGAACCTCTGTGACCTGATAAAGGGCTTCTACAAAAAACAAAACAAAACAAAACTACAGCTAACCTAACACTTAGTGAAATCTATCTCTAAGATAGGGAACAAGGAAGGGCTGTCATTTCTCACTGTTCTTACTTAACACACTGCTGGAAGTTGCAGTAAGGTATGAAAAAGAAAAGACCTATAGATTGAAAAGGAAGAGACAAAACTTTTTTATTTGTAGACATGACTACTTATGTAGAAAATGCCAAGGAATCAACATAAAAAGATTCTAGAGCTAATAAATTAGTATAGCAATGTCACAGGTTGCATGATCAGTATACAAAAACCAACAAATTCTATATTTTAGCAGTGAACAACTGAAATTAAATATTAGAATCAAATAGGACTATTCACAATAGCAGCAAAAAAAAAAAAAGGAAATCTTTATCAGTTGTAAATCTAACTTTAGAGTAGGATAAAACTACAGAGGTATAACATGTTTGTGGACTGGAAGAGGCAATATTGTTGGCATGCCAATTCTCCCCTAACAGATATACAGATTCAACACAATCCCAACGAAATCCAGTAAGCTTTTTGGGTGATGGGGTGGGTGATAGATACCTGACTTCATGCATTTGCCAACACACACAGAACTATTATAAAGCTCTGAAATTATTTGTGGTGATGGTGGCACATATTCTGTGGATATATTAAAAATCACTGAATTATACAATTGAAATGGATGAACTGTTGGTATGTGAAATTTATCTCAGTGAAATGGTTACCAGAAAAGACCTTAAAACAAAAACAAAAACAAAAGCAAAAAAAAGACACCTGTAGAGAGGTGATGATACCATCAAACCACAGACTGAGGGGTTGAGATAAGCAAACATTTACAGGCTCAGCCCTCATAGCACTTTGGTCAAAACCTCATGGAAGCAGTTCCACAGCCATTTTTCAGAACTCGAACTTTCTCTGCCCTGGAATTTCTTGATACCAACAGGTGAGCTTCTTAATAATGCCCAGTATAGGAATGGCACAGCCCCCAGCACTCCCAGCTCCTCTGTGCCAGTGCCCAGGCATTCTTGAACTTGCCCAGCAATTCAGTATGACCCAGTATATATACCAACTAGAACAACAGTGATCTTGAACATTTTCCTCCTACTTTACAGGAAAGAAATTTGAGACCAAGAAAAGGGACATGATTTACCCAGAATCACTTAGGTGATGGGAAATAGAGGCAAGAGCTAAGGCTATGTTCTCTCTTCGTCACCTCGACACCTTTCTGCTAGGTCAAAAATATGGGGCATGTATTACACGCTCTATACTTTAATAGCAAAGTGCAAAACAGAAGCTCTGCTAAACCCTGAATGAAGGTGAATTCTCTCCTCACCCAGACACTGACCTGTGCCCATCTAACACTTCTAGTAAAAGGACCAAATGAGATGGGGACATGCAAAGGGGAGAGAGGATGAAAACCTGGGAGGAAATAGGACTATCATGCATATTAAGAATATATCCAGTCAATTTCTGGAGAAAAGATGAAAGATCTCACTAGGGCACTAAAGGGAGGTAACAGAATAGTAACTAACAGTTATTCAAGGCTCAAACACTGCATATAGGATTTACACAGTAACCCTCAGAACCATGTAATATCAGCCCCATTTCACAGCTGAGGCCCAGAGCAGTTAGGTGACTTACCCATGATCTCACTCAAGCAATGGGAATCCCACTACCTCTGACTACAGCTGTGTGACTTGGAAAAGCTACATAACCTCCCCAAAGCCTCAGCTTTCCCATTGGGAAAGTGGAGATGACAAATAGTAACCCACTTAGGGGGCACCTCATCTGAGATTATACCTGAAAAGCACCAAGCAGAGTGCCTGGCACATATTACATGCTCCACATGTACTAAAGGCAAAATAAACCTTCATTAGGTCCACAGAACAATTCTATGATTGTAAACAATCTACAGGCCCCATAACATAACATTCTTGTGTTACCATTGCTCTTCCTTAACTGAATTTTCTGGAAGGAGTTTCTTTTTGTGTATGAATTAAAAACCAAATTGAAGCCACCACCTCATCAGCCTCTCTTCCCCCAGTGAAGAGGGCCCTTCCTGCCTTTATTTTTCTTCACCTTTCCCCCTGGCTCTGAGGCACAAAGGATTCAGACTGACGTAAAGTAGACGTCTGTTCAGGGACAGATGGTCTGTGCAATTTGAATATTTATTATCTTAGTAACTGGTACTTTACCTCTCACCTCTCCCTCAAGTTAGAAGGGATTAAAGGAGACTTAATAAGAAATGTCAAAGATGAAGAGAGGAGCAGAGATCTGCACCAAACAGGAGCTGTGAATGCAGTGCTGAAGTAACATTATGAAGATCAACAAAGAAAGTGCAAACTTTCAAGGTGAGTGTAGCATTAACAATGAAAACTGAACCAAGAAACTTTTGTTTGGAGCTCACAATATGGGATGGGGAGTGGGGAGGAATTTCCCTGAAAATAGACTCTGAAACATGTTCCCAGCCCTCATGATAGTTACGGGGCAGACATTAAGGGAGGGAAGAAGCAAATAAATAATTACAAATTACAGAACCCCATGTTATGATTTCTAATATATACTGTTAAATAAAAACAGCAAGGTGAAAAATCATGAAAAACACAAGGTGCCCATTGTATAATGGAGGGATCAGGCTGACCAACACCGTGCCCAAGACCAGTCTCAACACCATGAACGCAAAGATAACAGACATCAGGTATCTCCTGATGGAAATACACATCACCACCCAGGTTGTGGTTTTACAATAAACAGATGTGAATCTGATGAAACTCTAGGTCTAATTGCCAATTTGTGGGAAATACGAGAACTGGAGAACTTGTTAGTGACACAAGGCAGCACTCGGGCACATCTACTCAGTGGGAATGAACCACAGGAATGAAGAACCTGATTTATTCAAGAAATAAATTATAAGGAAAAAAGTGGGGAGGGACTCATAGATAAAGAGATTTGAGAGAGACATGGGTGAAATACGTGTGTTTTTTGTTTGGATCCTGATTAGAACAAACCAACTGTTTAAAAACATACACACACCCACAACTGGAAAACACTGAACAGCCTGGATATTTGATGATGCTAAGGAATTATTGTTAGTTAAGTTGTGACAATAGTAAAATAAGATATGATATAATAGTGGTCATTATTAAGAACAATGCATTCTGAAATATGGAGCCTAGAATTTGCTTTCAAAATAAGCCATGCAGTAAAGGGCAGACATAGATGAAACAAGATGGGCCATGTGTTGATAACTGTTTTAGCTAGATGATGGGTAGGTGTGGGGTCATTATAATCTCAGTACACTTACGTTGAAAATGGCCCATAATAAAAACTTTAAAAAGCAAGGGTACAGAACAGCAAGTATAAGCAAGTCCTGGAAACAATGTTGCCACCAGAGACTGGCTGGAACAGAGGTGGGGGAAAATTTTTCCAGTTTACCCTTTTAGACTTTGTGAATTTTGAACTGAACTATGTGAATATATATCATTATATATCTATTATCTATTGAGTATTATACAATACATAGTATCTATTTTATAAATAATTTAAAATTAAAATTAATTGTAATTGTAGCAGGGAAAGGCTAAGTGATATTAAAATCTGTGCTCCTCCTTCCAAAGCACAAACCTGTAGCCGAGTAGTGGTTGGTGCCTAGCCAGGGAACTAGGAAGAGGAAAGGCTAGAGTGTTGAATTGAAACGTGAGGGTGTGTTTGTGACAGCAGCTAGCATTACACTAATACAGTAAGAACTATGAGAACAGCTGCAAATGAAAGAACTGGGTGCTGCTGGGGTGGACAGGGGTATAATGAAGATGTAAACTGGCAAACTATGAACAGAAACAAAATGGACCAAAGTTGCTTTAACAGCTTCCAGTTACTATTATCTCCTAATAGTCGATGAACTGGCTCATTCATTTGTTCTCATGATATTTCACTATCTATATGGACCATATTCAAGCTGTAAACTGGAAATTATTTTGAAATCAACAAAATAATGTATATATCCATTGAATGAATAATCCCATCTCAGAGTTTATCTTAAGGAAAATAACACTAGTCAGAAAGCTCTACTACACACTGTAAAGTAGGTTGGCTAACGTTTTTTGTAAAGGACCAGAGAGTAAGTATTTTAGGCTTTGGGGGCCATATAAGCTCTACTAAAACTATTCAGCTCTGCCTTTGTAATAAAGCAACCATGTGCAAACATAAATAATCCCATTTGGCTGTTTCCAATGAAACTTTATTTATAAAAACAGGTGGCAGGCCAGATTTGGACAGTGGGCTATAGTTTGCCAACCCCTGCAAATGATCAACATAGTATCATTTATAGTAGCTAATAGCTCAAAAACAACCTGCATGTTCAAAAGAGAATGGTTAAATTAAAGAATATCCACTTAGATGATTGTACATAATATGAATAATTATGAAGACTTACAGCAAAAGAGATATGTTACTAAATACTGTATTTTGCAATGAAAAAATAAAAGGAGAATTCCTGATTGTACTCAGTAGGATTAGAGCTCTGCAAACTTCAGGCAGACACTTAGACAAGGCCCAAAATAATTGATCTGTGGAATCTGTGGGATGGTGGGCCCAGTGGTGAATTTAAAAAAAAATTAATTTGTTGGGTCTAATTAAATTAATCACACTCTAATCACATTTGTGTAATAATAGAATCCCCAAAACAAAAATTAAATGCCAAAACTATAACATGTCTTCAGTGGAAGACTCAGGTGAAACAGGTAAATTAACATGCTCACTGCATCACTAATTTCTCTAACAGTTTCTATGAGACAGTTGACAGTGACTGAGAAGTTGTCAAAGCCTAATGGACCCACCACTAACTTATTCCTGTGGCTACAGCTCTTTCCGCCTCTACCACTACCAAAAAGCCCATTTTGTGAACTGACCAAGTTTTCAAATTGTCTACCTTCTCTCTCCATTCTGGGCACTTGCACAGGCCGTTCCCTCCTCCAGAACACTCCTCCTGCCTGTTCCTCCTGCCCTGCCCCCTCCCACACTCAGGTCTCAGCCTGGAGGCTCTTTCCCCATGAAGGTCTGTCCTAGGCAGAAGGACCCACTGTCTGTGCCCACAGCATCCTGCTCTTCCTCCTTCGTGATACTTAGCACCCTCGTACTGACTACACTTAACTGATTCAAAGATGCTCATTCATGCACATTTTTACTTCCCTCAGTCAGGCATGAATCTTATGGTTGCTGTTGTCAGACCAGACAGCAGTTGTAAAGTGGTTACCTCCGCCTGCCACGTGCTAATGTGCTAGTGTCAAAACTTGTGGTGTGGGTGTCAGCAGTGTGGAAGAAAATCCCAGAGACAAGCCCTTGGAACCAGAAGCTTGTGGGGCTGAGATGGCGGGCTGGTGAATGTGGCACATTTAGCATCATTCCTGTCATGGGAGTCAAAAGCCAGCTCCTGAGCCCAGCACCAGTGGCTTTCAGTTTTTATGGATTCTCCTAAGGAATGGCTGCATTGCTCACATCTTTGATGGAACAGAAGATAACAGCATGTGTTAAACTATTAAAAAAAAAAAAAAGAAGAGGAAAGCTCAGACTATAAAGAAGTTTTAGGAGTATCCAAACAAATTTATTTTCCTTCATCAATTTTTCTTTTTATGTATTCACAAGAGTATAAAAAAATCTGTTTAATTAAGTCTAAAGGGATTCTTTCCATGAGCATCAAATGATAATTCTAAGGGTTGAAAGAGATTTGTGTTATATATAATTAATGTTTTCTTTTTCTTAGCAATGCCTACAACAGTAGCACCTTAGAGATGATGAAATGACCCCCGCTCAGTATCTAGATTTTCTGCCCACAGGGGAGGGGCTGGATCTGCCTTGTTCCTTACTGTACCCCCAGCAGCTGGCACAGTGCAGGAACAGAGTAGGCACTGAACACTTATCCATTGAAGTGACTTGAAGGAGGGTCTGCCAGGCAAAGGTCTGTGACCAGGATCACACCAGAGGGTTAGCACCTGAGCCAGAAATAGGAATCCCAAAGTGAGCTTGCCACCTCTGGCATTCAATTCTTTCGGCCTCTAATCCAATACAGTAATGCAACTTTTCAGTGCCTCCTGGTGGTGTTTTAAACTAGGAACCGTGTCCTGACAGCCGACAACCTGACAAGCACACCCTCACCCTTGGCTTGCCTCCATTTGCTTTGGCACAATAAACTGCTATTTTGACAGTCAGTTTATGGCAACTTGTCAGCTCAACTAAATAAAGCAGAAAGGTGCCCTCGCACTGGCAATGGCACAGAAGCTGTATCATAATCAGAAGCTCCAGGATGGACATCCTAGCCTCTCCTCACTGGGTCCCCTGCATCTTGTCTGGCCGCTCACCGCTCTGCGGGGACTCCCAGCTTCCTGGCCTGCAGGCCTGGACTTCCGTGCCCCAGGCCCACCGCACCTTCTGGGCCCGTGGCCCACACTCGGCATTTTCACATCTTCTGAGGAAGGTCCAAGTCTCTTAAGCATTCCATCCAGGCTGACTTTTTTGAAAGGAGTGCTATTACCAGAGGTTTTGGCAAAGAAAATATGCTTTCATTCATTAAAAAAAAAAGAAAGAAAGATATATTGTGAGGGCTTTCCATGTTCTGGCACCAGGTCGGGACCTGGAGGCATGGCCCTGCAGTAACCCAGAGAAGGGCTGCTGCCCCTCTGCAGTGCAGGTCCTGGGGGAGAAGACCACTGAAAATACATCACAGAGAAGTGAACAAGGGGGTGTCAGCTAGAGAAGAGCTGTGAAGAAGGCAGAGTGGCAACAGGGGAGGGTGATGGGGTTGGGTGGAGCTGGGGGACACTTTAGTTGGGGGGGTGCTGGAGAAGGCATGGCCCTGAAGGCAGGACTGGGAGCTGCAGACAGGCAGCAGGCACTTGCTAGACCTGGGTGTGATTCTGTTTCCTTATCTATAACACATGAAAAATAGGGGCTTACAATCTTCTGCATATAGCTGACAGAAAAGGAAAGAGAATCCTGCCTTTGAAAAGCCTCAGACAGGAAGTGACAAGTGTCACTTCTACTCTCACTCCATTGGTGAGAACGAGCTGCACGACCCTCCTTAAACAAAAGACTGCAGGAAATGCCTGTGGCCGCACAGCTGCCAACCAGAGACAACCCCACACTGTGAAGAGAGAGCACGAGTTTTTGGTGAACAGCTAAACATCCCTGCCATGGAGTTAAACCCTGTACAGCAGAATCTGGCTGCATGATTGCCGTGAGTTCATATGCTTGGCATAAAATACCTAAATGACAGAGTCCCTAAATGACAGAGGATTACATGAGGTACTTCACGTCGTTGTTTACAGAATAGGACTTGGTGGGGTATAAGCCCTCCAGACATTTTAGCCATTATCCCAAGGATGTGACGTTTGAGCTAAGACTTTTATTTTTTTGAAGACAGGACATGCAGTTAAGCTCAACATGAACTATTAAATATTAACCTCAGATAGGAAGTTTGCAGAAGGGTCTTTTGTAAAAACGAAGGCACTGAAACTGAGATAAAGTGTTCATAATGCAAACCGGACTTCTCTTTCATTTCTCTTCTGCCTCCCTTGTAGCTACAAAATGCTGAGAATCAGAGGGTCCTGCCAAACCGACTTCAATATCCCACAGTGGTACTGCTTTGTCCTAGGCTCTGCACAAATGTCAAGGTCATGAAAGACAAGAAAAGCTGCTCCGGATTGAAAGTGATTAAAGATATCTGACAACTGAATGCAACTCGTGATCTGGGATGGGATCCTAGGCCAGGAAAAGGACAATAGTGGGTCAACTGATGAAATCTGAATAAGGCTGGTAGATTAAACAGGGGCGTGGTGCTGTGAATTTACCGATTTAAGTAAGTGTACTGCAGTTATACACGAGAAGGTCCCTCTTCTTAGGAAATACACTCTGAGGTACCACTGTGCAAAAGGGCATTATGTCTGCCAACTTACGCTCAAATGGTTCAGAGGAAAAACAGTATGTCTATAAATGGAAAGTGATTATGAACAAATGCGGTAAAAGGAGAACAGTTGAGAACTTGGGGGAAAGGTAAAGGGAGAGTTCTTGGCACTGCTTCTGCCAAGTGTCTGTAAATCTGGAATTATTCATAAATAAAAAGTTATAAAAGTATCTATAATTTAGAGACTTAAATCACCAGGCTCTTCTACAAACCATGAAAAAAACAGTAACTATTTCACTAGCAGTAGATTAAGCAGGGCTAGTTTGATCACCTTAATACATGTATTTTGAGCTGAAGCATCTTATCGTTTGTGTCCACCCTGCCATCTGAGAATGACTCTCTGATGTCCTGTTCACTTTTGCGCTGTCTTTATGGTTCTGCTGTTCTCAGCAGAAATTCATGACTGATTCTCTCTTTGAATAAGCACTTAAGGAAAAAGATGTAGCAAAATAAAGAAGACAGAGATGTAACCGCTATCCAGAGTGGCAGAGAGTGGCCATCACCTCTCTGAAACATCATTCCTGGAAATTAGCAAAGTGCTTTTTAAAGAAGATGACATTAAATGTCCACAGTCTACTATGCTATAGATTTTTAGCATCTGACTGCAATGGGAAGTCTTGAATTGGTTGTATTAGTTTCCTGTGGCTGCTGTGACATATTACAATAAACTTGGTGGCTTAAAAATAACAGGAATTTATTCTTTCACACTTCTGGAGGTCAGACATCTGAGATGAGTACCACTGGGCTGAAGTCAAGGCACCACAGAACTGAATCTCTCGGGAGAACCTCTCCTTGCTTCTTCCAGCCTCGGGTGGCTGTCCCGATATTCCTGGGCTCATGGCTGCACCACTGCACTCTGCCACACTCCACAGCACCATCGCCTTCTCCTCCCTTGGGTGTCTGTCACAAAAACACCTGTCATTGGATTTAGGGGCCTCCCAGATAATCATTTCAAGACCCTCAGCTTAATTTCATCTGGAAAGACCCTTGTTGCAAATAAAGTAACATTCACGGGTTCTCAGGATTAGGGTGTGGATATATCTTTGGGAGGCTACCATTCAACCCTCTACAACTGAAAAGCAATTCTTCATCCCTAAGCCATACTAAGTCAACTGTATATTGAAGCAGCGATCTCATCTCTAAATACAGGACTGATGTCCCCACAAACTGTGATGGTAGACTGTCGGCAAGGAGACCCCTATCGGGCCCAGGGGCTGCATTAGCTCTTTCTTCTGCCTCAAGTGACAATCAGTAAACAGAACACACTGTTCAATAAAGGTGACACTCCAGGAACCCTCATAAAATGAATGTCAGTGGTCCTCTTTTACCTTTTCCAAGTGTGAGTGAAACTCTTAACAGTATGTGTCAATATAGCCCCATCTGTGAAATAAAATATTGTTCTCCAGGAAACTTTTTCTGTGGTTATGATCTTAGCTCCTTCTGAAGAGTTAAAACAAATTATTTATGCTACAGTGACACTGCTTCTAATTCCCTGTAAAAGATTACAGAAATAATTTTGCTCCTTACTGATTTTATTTTTCACTCAGTAAACATTGTTTTCCTCTCCCCTGTTTCAAATAGGAGTTGAAAAAAATAACATCACTGTTTAAGTAGACAGGAAAAGGTAACACCAAAATCCTGTGGGTCTGTCAGGCAGCTGCCTGGCATTGCAGAGCTGGGGGTGTGTGTGTGTGCCTGGACAAGAATACCGATAAACCAGTTTTGCGGGTGGAAGGAGGCTGCAGTCAGGTTTGTATGTCCCCGGAGGGTGTAAGCTTCGAGCCTCAGCAGAGCCCAGAAAGGCCGGAAACAATCCCAGCGGCTCCTGCGGAACACAGCAGTCCACTGGTGTCCAGCTCTTGGGGCTTCACCAGCTCAGTGCATCCCTCCCCAGCTCCTGCAGGGGGCGCTGCGCCAGCTCCTCCCACCTAATTTCCCCGGGACTGCTGCCCCTGTCCGGCTGGGAGGTCCCTAAGAGTTTATCTGCTCCCTTCCCTGGTCCGTAGCCGATGAAGGATACAAAATCCCAGCTTCACTGCCTCCTAACAGGAGACTGTCTGGTGTGCCACACTTTCCAGAGTCCCCTGAAAGATCAGGCTGAGGCTAGACTTCAAAACCCAGCCTTTGTCTAGCCCCTTCTGCCCTGGCCTACTTCCTGCTCTCAAACCAGTTGCACAAGAATCCTGGTCTCTAGTTCTACTTCTAGGGAAGCTGACTCCAACACTCCCTGTGATGGACGCTCGGAAATTCTAAGAAAAATCCTGGTCATGTTTCCAGACCTTGGTTCCTAGTATCTTAAAACAAAGTGGGAGACCAGAGCAGGGGAACTCAACACCGTCTGAACACTAGTCTTTCCCAATGGCAATGATGTGGAAGACCCCTGACGCCCTCGTGGAGGTCACAAGGTGATGTTTGGGAATCTGTGTTTTAGAACATAAGAAAAAATTTCCAACAGCAGGCAACAAATGGTCCAGGAATTCTACTTCTAGGAATTTCTCCTGATATTCTTGAGCACACATGAAACTAGGATATGTGCAGGGGTATACATTAGAGCACCGTGAGATAACAGGAGATGGGAAATAACCTAAATGCTATCACTAGGCGCTGGGCAAATAAATTACGGTAAATCCATTCTCTGGAACAACAATGCTGCTGTTAAAGAGAATGGGGAGAATGAGAATACTCTTTCTGAATGGATATGGAATTCTCTCCATGCTGGAAAAGTTCAGTAATGCAAATACAGAGAAGCGAGGATAAGTATGCTCTCACTGGGGTGGGGGACAGACACACACACACACACACACACACACATGCACAAAGTAATTCCTCAAGGAAATATAAGAAATTAGTGTCACTGGTAACCTCTGGGGAGGGAAAGTGAGAACTGGGGGTCTTTTGTACTTTTAAAATCTTGATCATGGGAATGTTATCTATTTTTTGAAGGTAAATACAATGTTAACAACTGTAAAACCATTGTTTTTTAGAACGGCTCTTGGAAGCGACTGTGGAGGAGAGCTGGGACAGCTGGGAGATGGAGGCAGCTCTCACAAGCCTAGTGGCTGCAGACAGGGCCACACACCAGCTTCCTCATCTGTAAAATGGGGATACGGCACCTCTGAGGGATGTCATAATGACAGGTGAGTTCTTGCAAATAATGCCTTCAGTACACTGCCCAGACCAAGAACTCAACAGATTTGCTCCACAGGAATTCAATGACATATGACTATAAAAATTTTATCACTATAAAAATGGCATAGCACCTTCTGGCTCCTGCACTACTGTTGCCCCATCTTTCCTTGCTGAGGAGCAGCCACATGGCAGCCAGAGCTGATGAAGAATACAGGGGCTTCTGGGGATGTTATCTACTACTGTGTAACAAATTACCACAAACTAAGGAGCTTAAAACAACATTCATTTGTCATTCTCACAATATCCAAGGGTCAGGAGCCCTGGCCAGGAGTCTTCTGCCCAGGGTCTCACAAGGCTGCAAGCAAGATGTTGTCCAGGTTGGGGGTTTCATCTGAGCCTTGAGGTCCTCTTCTGGACTTACATGGTTGTGGGTAGAATTCAATTCCTTGCAGGTGAAGGACTGAGGTCCCTGTTTTCTTGCTGTCAGCTGAGAGCTGCTCTAGATATGGCCCATAGGTGCATGCCACATGGCCTTCTGCTAGGCCTTTCCCAGCAAGGAGTTATGCCTTCAGGGCCAGCAGGAGAATATCCCTCTTTGGGAAGAACCCAGTACCTCCTTAAAGACTTTATCTGATGGAACAAGGCCCACTGGAAGGTAATCTCCTTTTGATGAACTCAGAATCAACTGATGTGGGACCTGAATTACATCTGCAACGTATCATTGGAACGATACCCCTCACCTTTGCTCTATTTTATTGGTTAGAAGCAAGTCACATGACCCCTCCCACTTTTCAAGAGGCTGGAATTACACAGGTTGTAACTCATTGGGGGTCACCCTAGGGTGTCTGCTATCTTGGGTGAGCCTAAGAGCCTGCTCACCACACTTGGAAAGATGGCAGACCACGGTGGGAAAAGGCTAGGCTTGGCCACACCTGGGTTCAAGTGCTGGCTCTAGAATTGAATGGATACTTTGAACTTTGGGCAAGTTACAAAACCTCCCAGCTCCTGTTCAACCAAAAGAAGGGGAAAATAAATAACATACAGAATCACTAGAAGGGCTAAACCAAGGAAAACTGCACATAAAAATCACCTAACATAGTAGAGCAGACACTAAACCTTAGTTCCCATTTCTCTTTCCAATCCTTCCAGAACTCAGAACTTAAAAATGAGGATTAATAATGATGGTTTCCTCTTAAGCCTTCCAGCAGCGCTGTGGGTAACGTGCACACTTTCTAAAATACCATACACACACTGTTTGATACCCTGGTGAGGGGTTTTCCGCACTCCTACTGATTTCATCTCTGGCAAAGGGTGAAATTGTCACTTGCACCTGCTGTCTTATCTCACTGCACCTCCTTTCAGGTCTGCTGAAGCCTGCCCACCAATGAGGAGCCAAATGGATAAATTATAGTGCAACCAAATACTGGACGCATATGCAGTTATTACAACATTGTCTCCAAGCAAGTTTAAGTGATATGTGAAAATACATATGGCTTATTGATAATGAAAAAGAAATGACCCCAAACTGTCCTTTTATGAGCTCAGGATCTGGACTCAAACTGCCTGGCCCAAAACCCAACTTCAGTATTTATGGCTCTGTGACTTTGGGCAAAATACCTAACCTCTCTGCACCTGTTCCCTCATCTGTAAAATGCAGATAATGCCCTACCTATTAGGAGGATTAAATGAAGTGACTATGTAAAGCACCTAGTGCAGTGGCTATCACCTGATGGGAACTCAGTGATAGGTGCCCTTATTATTATTAAATAACACTTCCATCATTTGAGAGGAAAGTTCAAGAAAGAGTTCTTTGTAAACAATATTAATGTTGTTTCTACCTTCTGAGGGAAATAAAGAAAATCAAAGAGGAAGAAATGAGTAAAAACATATTGAGGTCATACTAGACCTAATTCTATTTTCCAGAAGGTTGCAATTTACTCTGTACCTGAAAGCATTTAATTATTTTCTCCTTTTCCCACTTCCCATTCCCCTCTGAAGGAGTTTCATTTTCTCCATCTTTAAAAGTCAGGATGATACTGTTTTTCTCTTAAGTTTCACAACAATCCTTTCTGTGGATAATATGTGGAAACTGCTTCACAGGCAATTTCTCTTTATCACTCAATTTATCCTATCTATTTGCAGCAAAATAACAATTTTAAAATGAGTGTGACTGCCCCAGGAAATGGAAGGGCCATGTCCATGCCATGCCAGGTGCAAGGCTTTCTCTGCAGGAGGCCAAGAAGCTTCTGTTAATGATTTCCGCCAGGGAGCGTGGGATGGGCGGGGGCAGGGAGGAGGGACAGATTCCCACCCATCCTCCTGTTGCCAGGGCCAGAGCGGAGCTGCTGAGCAACTGGCAGCCAGAGCCAGGCCTTGAGCCAGGCTGCTGATGCCAGGAGTTGCTAAGGACCCCAGTGTGGAATGGCCAGGGAGTGAGCAGCGGGTGAGAGAACCACTGAGCCGAGCTGGTGACAAAGACAGTGAGCATGTGGCAGGCGGCAGGTCAGAGAGAGGCCTCTGTGGGCAGCATGCCGGCCAGCTGAGCAGGCAGATGGCAGCAGGGAGGAAACAGATGGACTTCTTGTGGTGCTGAGAAGCGGGGGAGGGAGGAAGGGGGTGCAGAGGAGGGCCTCCCTAACACAAGAACTTAAATAAACACACTGACCCACACAGGGAGTCCCCCAAGTGAGGCGTAGGACTGCCCTGGAGGGTCTCTAGGACCCACTCTAATGACAGAAACCCATGGGACTCTCTCCAGAACCCCACTCCACCCCAGCCCCTGCAGCCTGGCGGACCCTTCAGCTGGTGTCTTCATCAGTACCATCTCCTCTGAATCCATTCTCTGGAACAACAATGCTGCTGTTAAAGAGAATGGGGAGAATGAGAATACTCTTTCTGAATGGATATGGAATTCTCTCCATGCTGGAAAAGTTCAGTAATGCAAATACAGAGAAGCGAGGATAAGTATGCTCTCACTGGGGTGGGGGACAGACACACACACACACACACACACACACATGCACAAAGTAATTCCTCAAGGAAATATAAGAAATTAGTGTCACTGGTAACCTCTGGGGAGGGAAAGTGAGAACTGGGGGTCTTTTGTACTTTTAAAATCTTGATCATGGGAATGTTATCTATTTTTTGAAGGTAAATACAATGTTAACAACTGTAAAACCATTGTTTTTTAGAACGGCTCTTGGAAGCGACTGTGGAGGAGAGCTGGGACAGCTGGGAGATGGAGGCAGCTCTCACAAGCCTAGTGGCTGCAGACAGGGCCACACACCAGCTTCCTCATCTGTAAAATGGGGATACGGCACCTCTGAGGGATGTCATAATGACAGGTGAGTTCTTGCAAATAATGCCTTCAGTACACTGCCCAGACCAAGAACTCAACAGATTTGCTCCACAGGAATTCAATGACATATGACTATAAAAATTTTATCACTATAAAAATGGCATAGCACCTTCTGGCTCCTGCACTACTGTTGCCCCATCTTTCCTTGCTGAGGAGCAGCCACATGGCAGCCAGAGCTGATGAAGAATACAGGGGCTTCTGGGGATGTTATCTACTACTGTGTAACAAATTACCACAAACTAAGGAGCTTAAAACAACATTCATTTGTCATTCTCACAATATCCAAGGGTCAGGAGCCCTGGCCAGGAGTCTTCTGCCCAGGGTCTCACAAGGCTGCAAGCAAGATGTTGTCCAGGTTGGGGGTTTCATCTGAGCCTTGAGGTCCTCTTCTGGACTTACATGGTTGTGGGTAGAATTCAATTCCTTGCAGGTGAAGGACTGAGGTCCCTGTTTTCTTGCTGTCAGCTGAGAGCTGCTCTAGATATGGCCCATAGGTGCATGCCACATGGCCTTCTGCTAGGCCTTTCCCAGCAAGGAGTTATGCCTTCAGGGCCAGCAGGAGAATATCCCTCTTTGGGAAGAACCCAGTACCTCCTTAAAGACTTTATCTGATGGAACAAGGCCCACTGGAAGGTAATCTCCTTTTGATGAACTCAGAATCAACTGATGTGGGACCTGAATTACATCTGCAACGTATCATTGGAACAATACCCCTCACCTTTGCTCTATTTTATTGGTTAGAAGCAAGTCACATGACCCCTCCCACTTTTCAAGAGGCTGGAATTACACAGGTTGTAACTCATTGGGGGTCACCCTAGGGTGTCTGCTATCTTGGGTGAGCCTAAGAGCCTGCTCACCACACTTGGAAAGATGGCAGACCACGGTGGGAAAAGGCTAGGCTTGGCCACACCTGGGTTCAAGTGCTGGCTCTAGAATTGAATGGATACTTTGAACTTTGGGCAAGTTACAAAACCTCCCAGCTCCTGTTCAACCAAAAGAAGGGGAAAATAAATAACATACAGAATCACTAGAAGGGCTAAACCAAGGAAAACTGCACATAAAAATCACCTAACATAGTAGAGCAGACACTAAACCTTAGTTCCCATTTCTCTTTCCAATCCTTCCAGAACTCAGAACTTAAAAATGAGGATTAATAATGATGGTTTCCTCTTAAGCCTTCCAGCAGCGCTGTGGGTAACGTGCACACTTTCTAAAATACCATACACACACTGTTTGATACCCTGGTGAGGGGTTTTCCGCACTCCTACTGATTTCATCTCTGGCAAAGGGTGAAATTGTCACTTGCACCTGCTGTCTTATCTCACTGCACCTCCTTTCAGGTCTGCTGAAGCCTGCCCACCAATGAGGAGCCAAATGGATAAATTATAGTGCAACCAAATACTGGACGCATATGCAGTTATTACAACATTGTCTCCAAGCAAGTTTAAGTGATATGTGAAAATACGTATGGCTTATTGATAATGAAAAAGAAATGACCCCAAACTGTCCTTTTATGAGCTCAGGATCTGGACTCAAACTGCCTGGCCCAAAACCCAACTTCAGTATTTATGGCTCTGTGACTTTGGGCAAAATACCTAACCTCTCTGCACCTGTTCCCTCATCTGTAAAATGCAGATAATGCCCTACCTATTAGGAGGATTAAATGAAGTGACTATGTAAAGCACCTAGTGCAGTGGCTATCACCTGATGGGAACTCAGTGATAGGTGCCCTTATTATTATTAAATAACACTTCCATCATTTGAGAGGAAAGTTCAAGAAAGAGTTCTTTGTAAACAATATTAATGTTGTTTCTACCTTCTGAGGGAAATAAAGAAAAATCAAAGAGGAAGAAATGAGTAAAAACATATTGAGGTCACACTAGACCTAATTCTATTTTCCAGAAGGTTCCAATTTACTCTGTACCTGAAAGCATTTAATTATTTTCTCCTTTTCCCACTTCCCATTCCCCTCTGAAGGAGTTTCATTTTCTCCATCTTTAAAAGTCAGGATGATACTGTTTTTCTCTTAAGTTTCACAACAATCCTTTCTGTGGATAATATGTGGAAACTGCTTCACAGGCAATTTCTCTTTATCACTCAATTTATCCTATCTATTTGCAGCAAAATAACAATTTTAAAATGAGTGTGACTGCCCCAGGAAATGGAAGGGCCATGTCCATGCCATGCCAGGTGCAAGGCTTTCTCTGCAGGAGGCCAAGAAGCTTCTGTTAATGATTTCCGCCAGGGAGCGTGGGATGGGCGGGGGCAGGGAGGAGGGACAGATTCCCACCCATCCTCCTGTTGCCAGGGCCAGAGCGGAGCTGCTGAGCAACTGGCAGCCAGAGCCAGGCCTTGAGCCAGGCTGCTGATGCCAGGAGTTGCTAAGGACCCCAGTGTGGAATGGCCAGGGAGTGAGCAGCGGGTGAGAGAACCACTGAGCCGAGCTGGTGACAAAGACAGTGAGCATGTGGCAGGCGGCAGGTCAGAGAGAGGCCTCTGTGGGCAGCATGCCGGCCAGCTGAGCAGGCAGATGGCAGCAGGGAGGAAACAGATGGACTTCTTGTGGTGCTGAGAAGCGGGGGAGGGAGGAAGGGGGTGCAGAGGAGGGCCTCCCTAACACAAGAACTTAAATAAACACACTGACCCACACAGGGAGTCCCCCAAGTGAGGCGTAGGACTGCCCTGGAGGGTCTCTAGGACCCACTCTAATGACAGAAACCCATGGGACTCTCTCCAGAACCCCACTCCACCCCAGCCCCTGCAGCCTGGCGGACCCTTCAGCTGGTGTCTTCATCAGTACCATCTCCTCTGGCCAGTGGTTACCAATCTGGGGGCAGGTAGTTATTCGGGGTGGCCTGGAGGGGACTTCTTGCCAGTAGTTAAGATCCACATACTCTGCAGGCAGAATAAATAAGCCCTCACACCTGTGTAGAACTACGATTCTTTAAACATAGGCACATGCTATTGCCATGACTGAAGTGCAAGTGCATTTAAAAGCACTGCAGAATTCTCCAGCCTGTCAATTTCATTGTTCCTTTTCCAAACTCTCAGACACCAAAAACACTATTACAACTTAAAATATTGCTATCACATTTGGCTCCTTGAAATTTCTGGATGATAAAGAGATACCTGTATTTCTAGATGCTAAAAGTTTAGATAACTGTTTAATGCCACCATGCTCTGAAGGGCAAGAAGAACTTCATTTCTCTCTCTGTAAGAGGTCACCTCATGTATCCTGAGGAAGTTCTTTATAGATCTGTACACTAGGAGTTCTTACAAGGAAGTTCATCACAGCCTTGGGCAGAACCAGAAGCTCCTTGGGCCACAATAAGGGAGAGGAGCTGGTCACAGAGACCACAGTACATCCAGGACTGGATACAGTAACACTATTAAAAACCAAATTGCAGATGAATGTTAAGTGACAT